ACAGAAAGAAAATAGACTCAAAAGAGCTAAAGAGTTGCTTCGCTTGGCCGAAAGTGGTGAACTGCCGAATTTGGTTTTCTCCGATGAGAAAACATTCGTTGTCCAGCAGCGTGTAAACAAACAAAATGATCGTGTTTACTTGCCAATGAAGTCAGCAGAAAATGTGCACCTTCGGTTGGCCACCAGAACTCAAGCGCTGGGCCAAAATATCGCAGAGCAACATTCGGGCAGCGTGTGGCGGTTTCATTGGCCATCATTTCATTTCATTGAAGGCCATAATTCGTACCAAAGGTGACCAATTCCAACAAATCTAAACTTATTCTAAAATTTGAGGCTATTTCCGACATTTTTTGCTTTCATTAAATAAAATCGAAAAAAAAAAATGTAAAAACTAGGGCGTTTGACTTTGTTGCAGTTTTTTTTTTATCTCACCTTGCATATCTCTCCTCTAGTGTCCTTAAAGGAAAATTCTACCCGGCGCAGTGTAATATGTTTAATGTTCCACTAATTTCTTTTTAAACCAAGCTAAGTTTTTACTCAAGATTTAATTTGTAGATTATTAAAGGTTTATTGACCCACATACAAGATGACTGTCAACAGAGCTGACATGAAGGATGCTGTATGCCAGCAAGTCCTTTGGCAAGGAATCAATTTCACTCCCTACGTTGTTTTATTTTTTAGCTTTTTTTTTCTCTGCTGAGATATAAAACCAAGTGTTTGGTAAATAAAGTCAATGCATGTTGACGGCGGGTTTGTCCCACATTTACTCGCTTCAAATTGTTTTACTCCAGAACAGCTCTTTCTTGTCAACAAGGAGGCATCATGGCTGTTGATAATGGGGGAAGAGAATTAAAGTGTTACTCGGATGTTGAAGCAGATAGTTTTAATGAGGATATGGATGGCATTTTTTTACATTGAAGAGGAAAGGGCGTCATCAAGAAGATTTGCTTTTAATTTAGAGATTTATATGGCATGCACTTAAAACTTTAATAATTGGAAAGAAGTGCAATGGGAGTTTTGAAATGGATTGTTATTTTAGATTTTCTAATTTGATATGACTAGGGCAAAATCGAAACTATTTGTAATTAAAAATGTTTAGAAATGTTCGATGGTATTCCTCTGACGTTTTATACACAGAAACATTTTTGTTCTTTAAAAAAAATGTCGGTTCTAATTCGGAGATTTATATGAAACGCACTTAAAAGTTTAATAATCGGAAAGAAAGCTCTTATTTTGGTTTATATAATTGGATATGACATTGGAAAATCTGAAAATGTTTGTACTAGAAAATTTATGATAACAATGTTGGATACTTTTGTTCCAAATTTTCATGAACGATTTTTATACCCTACACCACAAGGTGGTCAGGGTATTATGTCTTTGTGCATTTGTTTGTAACAGGCAAAAGGAAACGAGATAGACCCATAGTTCCTTTTGATGATCTGCATAGAATCATATTCTGAGTCGATTTATGCATGTCCGTCCGTCTGTCCGTCTGTCCATGTATTTTTGTAAACAAAGTACAGGTCGCATTTATTGCCCGATCCAGATGAAATTTTGCAAAGATCTCTTGTTTGGCCCAAGGACGAACCCTATTGAAATTGGAGATAACCGGTCAAAATTTAGATATAGCTCCCATATATATCTTCGTCCGATTTGCCTTTTATTGTGCACCGAACGTGTAATATCAGCCCGAATTGTATGGAATTTTGCATATACACCCAAATTAGGCCTGAAAATGTGTATGCCAAATTTGATCGAAATCGGTTCAGGTATAGCTATAGCTCCCATATATATTGTTCATCCGATTTGTTATTTTTGTCCACCGCCGCCGTTATATGCACCCTGCAACAACAATATTTGGGGAAATATATCAAATACAGCTCAGAAATACATTTGCTAAATTTTATCGAGATCGGTTCAGATTTGGATATAGCTCCCATATATAACTTCGTCCGATTTACCTTTTATTGTGCACCAAACGTCTAATATTTGTCCAAATGGGATGGAATTTGGTACTTACGACCGAATTGAGTCTAGAAGCTAGTATGTCAAATTTGGTGAAGATCGGTTCAGATATAGCTATAGCTTCCATATATATTATTCATCCGATTTGTTATATTTGTTACCCACAACCGTAATATGCCTCCATAACAACGATATTCAGGGAAATATATCAAATACAGCTCAGAAATATCTTTGCCAAATTTTATCGAGATCGGTTCAGATTTGGATATAGCTCTCATATATATCTTTATCCGATTTCAAATTAATTGTGCACCAAATGAGCAATACAATTCCGAATTTAAAAGATACAAATGCTTCGGCATATTTAGTTCTTTGAACTTTAAATTATAGTTATAATCATAGCGTGTATGATTGAATTCTCCCATAAAAACTTTTAATTGTTATGTGGAGCTCTACTTAATTAGCAAAGTGGTGTAGGGTATCATAAAGTCGGCCCCGCCCGACTTGAAGACTTTCTTTACTGGTTTTAATTAATTAATTTGACATTTTTTGTTCTGCAAACCAATAAATGTGAAAGAATGCTTTTGCGACGTAACAATGGAACAGAAAGGGTAAAGAACTTTGAAATGTTTATCAATGCAACTAGAAACAATAAACCAACAAGCGTAACAATTGTCCAAGGCAAGCAGACGCAATAAACGATAAGTTAGGGCAACACACCCGGTATTATTGAACGATTGTCTTCTGGACGGATTTTATCGTAGACGGTAAAAATTCGAGACACTTAACACAAATAAGGTTAGAATAACCTCAATCATTTGGCTTTTGGGCTTCAATACATAGAAATGTATTTTTAATGCTACATATTTTCTTATTTTTTAATTTTGTTAATTGCAAACGTTTATTAAGATATGACCTACTCTGAAAACCAAATATTCTCCCTAGCAGAGAAACTATACAAAGAAGTAAAAGAACGCACAGATTTAAGATGAAATCCCCAAAAAACAGAGATAATTTAGAGAGGCATTCTATCGCTCAGAAGTTTTGCTCATATATTTGTATTACCCCTTGTATATCTTTGGTATTAAAAATGGCACATATGGTTTACGTTTCGGTAAGGCCCCCACCATATAGCGTTACTTTCTGATTTTCGGTGTTTTGACCAACATTTTAAGCCAAATCATGTGTAGCTTGGCATTTATGGTTCTGAGTAGGTATAATCTCTTCATGCTAAAACTTATCAAAATTGCTCCAGTATTTGGTATAGACCCCATATTACAGTATCTACTAATTTTCGGTATTTTGAAGGTTTGGGCCAAAATTTCAAACTTAATCATGTGTAACTTGACATTTTCAGTTCTGAGCTGACAAAATCTCTGGCTGCTTTATTTTGTAAAGATAAATCCACTATTATGTATTGACTATATATGACCTGCACTTCCAAATTTTAGGCATTTTGAGAATCTCTCTCGATGCAAAATGTTGTGAAGGTAAGTCCACTATTATATAGGCCCTATACAGGGGGAGATAAAAAACTGCATCAAAGTCAAACGCAAAAAAGCAAAAAATGTCGGAAATAGCATCAAATTTTATAATAAGTTTAGATTTGTTCAAATTGGTCATCTTTGGCACGAATTATTCCCTTGAAACGGCCAATGAAACCCACACACGCTGCCCGAATGTTGTTCTGCAGTAATTTGGCCCTATTCCGGCGAAGCACTTGCTTGAGGTGATCGACACTTTCGCATTTTTAGTGCCAACCTTGCTTTACCAAATACTCCAGATACAATAGTCCAACGGATTGGTATCCGCAGATTTTGGTGGCCACTGTGTGCTGGAAATGAAACGAGAAACCTCATTTTGTAACCATTTAGGGTGGCGTGTGCTTAGTGCGATGGTCCTAAATCCTGTTAAAATGTCCAAGGTATGCGGCCAAAATGTTTGCGTGCCCAAGGCTTTAGTACACCCTCCAAAATATTTTCGCGATAATATTCGGCATTTATTCTGATGCCACGGTCGATTTAAACGAGCGGAGAGCGACCATCGGCTGTTGTGGCGGCCCACACCATCACCATGGCCGGCGCTTGAGTTCTGGTGGCCAACCGAAGGTGCACATTTTCAGCTGACCTCTTCGGATAGTAAACACGATAATTTTGTTTGTTTACAAATTGTTTTCTCATCGGAGAAACCCAAATTCGGTAGTTATCCACTTTCGGCCAAGCAAAGCAACTCTTTAGGCCTAAGGTCAACAAAGAAATTCGAAACCACCTGTCTGGGATAATCCGTGTTACAGATGAAACAAGTAAGAAAGTAGCCAAGTTCGGCCGGGTCGACATTTTAATACCCTCCACCATATGGAAGGAACATGAAAAATTTCAACGGATTCCGAAAAATACCATATAAATGATGAATGAAGACGTGGTACCCATTAAAATCTTCAAATACGAAATCTAAAACAATTCCGGCCTTCATACGAAATTTTGAAACAATTCGGATGAATGATGTCAATGTACAATGTACCTAATATCGGGAGGTACCGTTATATGAGGGCTATACGAAAACTTGAACCACCGACCAATCCTAGTGGCAAAATACACATGTGTGAACAATTTTAGCCTTCTATGTCAATTCCTTGAAAGATAGCATGATTACAACAGACAGACGGACATCGCTAAATCCTCTTGGAATTTTACGCTGATCCAGAATATATATACTTTGTAGGGTCTATCATGAATATTTCGAGGAGTTACAAGCGGAATGACAAAGCCAAAATACCCTCCATAGAATGAATAGATGGTATAAAAATGTGAGGCATGTGTATGTAACGTAAAAAATATTTTGATGTTAGATGACGTCATTTTGCACAATTAAAGGTATGTATGTCAACAGATAGCTTAGAAGTTAGTTGAAAACAAAGAACTGCAAAAATAGTCAATCCTACTATCATCGACTTGATGATAATAGTTACATTTAAAAAAATATATCATTTAAATTTCATTAACAATTAAAACAAAATTGTCATCTAAACTTACCATCAACATTTTTGGGTTTATTTGTGTAGAAATCCATTTTATCCGATTGATGATATCTCCGAGTTTATGGCACTACGTTATTATTATTTTTCGTTTACTCCTTTGTTATTGTTATTAATTAAATTATTTATTCGTCTGATTAAATTGCAATTAACTATTGAGTTTGGAATTATGTTATCGCACAAACAATACGATATGGTCTTAATGCAAGATTTAATAACGTGTCACTTGCCGGCGTATTTCAACATTTGTGACGCACTTTCAAGAAGTTTATTTACACACACTCACATATCTAGGTGCATTTTCCTGTGTTTCAAAATAAAGGGAAAATCAATAAAATGCACTTTTCCCGGGCCAACAGACAATAGGGTGTTTCATATATAAGGGAAACAACCCCCCTCATGAAACCGTTGTTATTTTTCACCAGGTTGTGAGGCAGGCAGGGAGAGAGAGAGAGAGCGAACAACATGAGTCACAAACAATAACATCAACAGCAGCAGCAACAAAACAGAGTGATTTTTTGCCCAAACCAAATAAACAAAACATGTGATGAAGGGAGCCAAAGCAGGGTTGGGGGAGGTGAATGCCCTGCCGGTGTTTTGTTCGTTTTGTTTTGTCTTTTTGATTGCATGGTAAAATATCGAACAAACAACACGGGTGGTGAACATGTGTGTCCAAGGGAAGGGAGGAAAATTTTGTCAGAAGTAAAACTACAATATTAAAATCCTGGGAATTATTGTAAAATGGTTTTTGCCGTTTTATCATGGTAAGACTAAATGAAATGGGATGGAATATATGATTGAACTATTTCATAATACAAACCACCATATTTCTACACAAATTGTAGGTACGCAGAAAAGTTTCTCAAAATAATTTTCCTAATTTCTTCTATTTCTCAAAAGTTTAAACCAAAACCCTTCGATTGTGTACCACATTCATTATCGACTTCTACAATGTTTATGTATCCCCAGATTCTAGCTAAATTCTATACAAAATTTCAGGAAAAAATTGTTCCAATGACAATTTGTATGTTAAGTATCACAGTTCGTTTTAGACCTTTTAGTACTCAAAATGCACAATTTTTTCAGTTTGACAAATTTTTTAAATCAAAACTTCATGAACGGCACTAAATTTTCAGATTTTTAAATTTTTATATATTATTTAAGTCTTTCTTTTTCGGAAAACAAGTAAAAACAACTGTATATTTGAATACGATTTTGGCAATTTAAAAGAAAAAATAAAATCCGTTAGAAAATCTGTTAAAATCGTATATCTATATTAGGGTCTATATAGGTAACTTTTGCCATAAACCAATACAATATTCTAATGCGAAACTTGATTAAAAAAATCGGTGAATAATGTACCTAAAATCATCAAAATTCCGAATATGGGGAGGTGTTGCTATACAAAAACGTGGACCTTCACAAACAATTTTCAGTCATAGGCTGTAGCGTCCGTTACGAACTTCAAACACGCTAAAATTTACAAAACACCGAAAATAGGGAGGTGCCGTTATATGGGGGCTACACGAAGGCGTAAACCTACACGGACAATTTTCTGTCATAGGCTGTAGTATCCATTACAGACTTCAAATACCAAATCTGAAACATTTCCGAAGAATAATGTCGCTAAAATCATGAAAATACCGAATATCGGGAGGTACCGTTATATGGGGGCTATACAAAGACGTGGACCTGAACAGACAATTTTCTGTCACAGGCTGTAGTATCCATTAGGAACTTCAAACACCAAATTTGAAACATTTCCGGTTAATAATGTCGCTAAAATTTACAAAACACCGAAAATAGGGAGGTGCCGTTATATGGGGGCTATACGAAAACGTGCACCTGCACAGACAATTTTCTGTCATATGCGGTAGTACCCATTACGAACTTGAAATACCAAATTTGAAACATTTCCAGTGAGTAATGTCGCTTAAATCGCAAAAAACCGAAAAAGGGAGGTACCATTATATGGGGGGCTATACCAAAAAATACATCACCCATTTTCAATACCAAAAGTCCTGCAGACATAATACACATTTGGGTAAAATTTTATCAACTTATTTCATTTCGATCGGAAGCTAGAGTGATTTCCACAGACGGATGGACATAGAATTTTATACTGATCAAGAGTATACATACTTTTTGGGGTCTAAAAAGTATATTTCGAGGTGTTACAAACGGAATGACAAATTTAATATAACCTCCATACTATGGTGAAGGGTATGAAAATTAAGGACAATGTACATATACCTTTTACACCAAAAAGTCTTCAAAATTTTGAAATTAAACGAAGATGATATTAGTGAAACCATTGCACAATGGACCCACATCCAATTTTTAATTCCAATTTTCTCCGATGAGAAAACATTTGTTGTCCAGCAGTTCCGAAGCAAACAAAATTATCGTGTTTACTTGCCAAAGAGGTCAGCTGAAAATGTGCACCTTCGGTTGGCCACCAGAACCAAAGCGCCGGCCATGGTGGTCGCTCTCCGCTCGTCAGGAATGGGCTAAAATACCGCAGAGCAACATTCGGGCAGCGTTTGACGGTTTCATTGCCCGTTTGAAGGCCATAATTCATGACAAAGGTGACCAATTCGAACAAATCTAAACTTATTCTGACAATTGATACTATTTCCGACATTTTTTGTTTTCATCCAATAAAATTAAAAAAAATGTAAACATTATGGCGTTTGACTTTGTTGCAGTTTTTTTATCTCACCCTGCAAGTATTGGAAATTGCGACCCTTTGTGGTTGAGGTACTAGAACAGGATGGCAAATACGTATCATCTCCACAACAGATTTTGCGTTAGCAAAAATGTTTGGATGGGTGAAATTTGAAGAGAGTTGAATGCTTCTTTCGCGCTTTATGAACGTTTTGTTTTTCAAAATTTTGAACCCTACGTGGAGGAAGTGGAAGAAGGAGTGGGCCGATATATCCTATTTCATAGAAGATCTTGTGTTAGTACAAATAATGGCATGTGTGAATTTTGAAGAGAACAGGATTCCTATTTTGAATTTTATGATCGTTTTGGTTGTTTCGAAACTTTGAACCTTTGTGGGAGAGGTTCCAGAAAAAATGGTCCGATCTCTACCATCTCTATAACAGATCTGGTGTTGATAGAAATATTGAGATGTGTCAAGTCTGAATGGAATCGGATGTTAATTTCGCGTCTTATGAGCTTCATAAATATTCAGAATGTTGACCGTTTGCGGAGAAGGTACCAGAAGCAGTAGACCGATATATTCCATCTTTACACCAGAACTTGGGTTTATGAAAATATCATGATGTGTGTAATTTGAAGATAATCGGACTCTTACATCACTCTCTTATATAAGGAAGGTACTATATGGAGTGGACCGATATTGTCCATTTTCGCACCAGACGTAGCACTGATGCAAATATGAGGCTTTGCAATGTTGGAGCAAAATCGGATTATCCTTTCTCTTCCTGTAAGTATAATATTTTTTTTTGTTGAAAAGTTCGACCTTTTGTGGTGGAGTTACCAGAAGGAGTGGACTCGATCTACGTTTGATAATATTATTATGTACCAAGTTTGGATCAAATCGGATACTGCCTTCGAGAGTTATCGTGCGCTCCAGCCAGAGAAGCGAAAGGACGGACATCGGTAGATCGATTCCAAATGTCCTGAAACGGATTTGGTCCAAAGAGACCTGGCTTCTAAAACTGTTATTTCATAATCAGCCCCATTTTTGACCGTCGTTAGTGTACATTTCGGGTTATAATCTGTATTTGTAGGTCTTCTAACATGTTGAACTCCTCTATCTGTAAAATTTAACCGTAATTACCCCCATGTTTGACCGTCGTTGGGTTACATATTGGGTTATAATCTTTATTTGGTCTTCTTACATGTTTAACTCCTCTATTATTGAAAATAAGTCGTCAATATCGTGACGTACATTTCCAGCGTACTATTTACAGCTGAGATGAAATGTCTACACGCATTGAAATGAACCTGACAAGTGATGTTGGCTTGTTTAAGGACAGGCACACCCTTTCATATAAATTCTACACATATACAAACGTACACAAAGATGAATCCTTTTGAATAAAATCATAAACAATTTATGGAATCCCTTTGAGTACATGGAAATATATTTGCTCACACAGTCTCACAAATAGAACTACATTCTCGAATATTCTGAAAACCGAATTTCCAAATTTATTTTTTCTATCACAGCCAAAAAAAAAAATTAAAAAATCTGAAAGCAAATCCCTTCCAAACAACACCCATTAAACGTCAATTGGGTGCAATGGGTCATTGGATTGACCCCCAACCGCAATTTTCAAACAATCCATATGTTTGCAAAACGAACATCGACAATCACAACAACTACAATAATTGCTAGCAGTAGCCATAATAATAACAAAATTTGATGGGGAGCAGGGAGCACAACGAAAAAAAAAACGATTGGGGTAAGGGGACCAAATATTGCGTTTTGTTGATGCAATTTTCAACAAAATATGCTACAATAAACATATGTTGTTGTGGTTGTGTATTGCAAATTTTGTTATTATTGTTGTTGTTGTTACTTCACACTGTGTTTCACAATTGCACCATATTCTCCAAAATCGTATGAAAATGAGAGCAACTAGCCAGACACACAAAGTTTACACGTTGTTGCAAATTTCCTTTTATTTATTTTTAGTATTTATTGCGATTATTGTTTTTTAATTTATTTGTTTAACAATGTGTTTCATCACAAAAACGCACACGTACTCCAGCTATTGTTGTGGTTTGACCCACATTATGGTGGTTATTTCATACTTTCAGGTAACAACAACATAAATTTCAAACTTTTTTGGATAAATTTATTTTCAAAACACACGTCGCCACACGTCAAGCCACTTCTCAAAACAATCACAAACGGGAGGACTTAACACAAATTCACTCCTGGCTCATTAAAAGTTGAAGGATAGTAGTGCCACAACAAGGAAGACAGGATAATAATTGCACTCACACACACACGCACACACACTCAATGAACACTAACATTAAAACGCACTCGCTCATGCAGCGACTTGGTAACTGTGTTACTGGGTGTTTTCCTTGGCGTGTGCTTTATTTTTTATATTCCTACCTACATTCATACACAGAGATATATATATATACGTATATC